TTTTTGGAGCAGCAGAAGGTTATTAATTTTATTCAACTCATGGTCCCATATAATCTTCATGTCCTTCAGAACTGCTCTCTAGTTAGTCCTCCTTCATCCTAGATCTGTGCAGTTGAAATTACTGCCTTGGTGGAGAAGCTGTACTTGGCCCTATTTAGTTGCATCTTTTTTTTTTTTTTTTTTTTTTTTAACCAGTCTTCCCCTTTCAGATAAGCCTGCAGATGTAGTAAGTATTCCCTCTATTGAATCTTTCATGCTGTTAATGATTTAAGTTCTTCTGCCTTGATTCTTTAAGAGGGGTGAGAGAAAAGTGCTGCAAGAGCAGCTTTAAGGCTGTTTTCAATGAAACTTAGGGCTAGGACTGTCCCTTCTCACATATAACCATATACAGGATGGGAGAAGAGATTCCCATCATTTCACTGCAGGTGTCTGCACTCTGTTCCCAACTAAAGATACCCTCAGCAAGGCTGAATGTGACCTTTTCTGATAGATCCAGGCCTCCAGCCAGTCCTACTTGAAATGTTGCCCTAGCCTCCCCTTTTTCTCCTGCTTCTCTGATCACTCTAACATTGATGTGGTGGTTCACATTACCTCCACATTCCTCCCTAATGGAGTCCCACAAACCCCCTTTGTCTTTGTCCATCCCATCTTTTTCCAGCTTGCATACTTTCTCCATTGTGGCCCTTAAGGCCAGTCCTGCAGGTATCATTTTGTCATTTCTTTCAGTCCAATCCCAGATCTCCTTGTGTTTCCCAGACTTAGTGAATGCTTTAGCATCAGTAAAAGTAGCTCAGATTTCTTGTATCCAGCATTTTCCTCCATGTTCATCTTTTTTCTGCCTTTCTCTTGTGCCGACTCTGTCACTCAGGCCATTAACCCTACCCTTAGCTTGAGCTTCTTTCCTCTCATTTTCCAGCTATGTATTGAGGTCATGCCCAGATTGCTTGTTGATTTCTTTCAAGTCACACAAACACATGCTTAGATCCTTGTCTCTTGCTTTCACTTCTGTAATCTTTTTTTTTTTTTTTTCCAATCTTCCTGGCATGGATATTGCCTTACTTCAGTTGAATCAAAATGAAAATGTGAAGAACATTTGCTTTGATGAATGCTTTAAGAACAGGTTGCCCCAAGAACTTCCATGTGCATCTTCCCTCCCATCAGTGTTCTCTGTCATTACCCAGGTGGATCCTGTCCAGTTTTTACTCCAATTCCCAGTCTTTGGGAGAGTTAAGAAAGCCTTGTGGATGGCTGATGAAGACACAATATACAGCATTGGCACCCAGGGAGCCTGCTGACAATTCACCCACATCACATCAGCATCTACCCTGGTAATTTCATGTGGGCACTGAACTAAAGCTCAGAGGATTATTTGCATTTTCCACAAGTACAGTGCCATGAACTAAACCCACCCCCAGCACTTCTAGTTGTGTCAGATCTTCTCAGTCTGTCTGGTATCTTGTTTGACCTTGTCCTGTCTGGGAAATGAAGCACTTTCCCTCTCCTTTTCTCCTTGTTAAGTGCACTAGGACCTGTCAGGATTAAAGGTACTGGGAAAGTACAAGCTGATTATTATCCCATTCCAAGTGATATTAAAAGAACATTAAGACGGATCAGATGAGCATTCAAGAAAAGTAGGTAATAATAAAGTATTATATCAGCAGAGAAATAGCAGTTAAGTAATTAAAGAGAGGGTTTGCACAAGAGGAAGAAGTAAAGTTATAGGTGCTCTTGGCCTCTAGACCATTCTTTATTTTAATATGGTGGTAACCTTTAGAGGATGTCAGTATGTCAAGCGCAGCACCAAGAAGTAACGCAGAGGCTTTTCCTGCCCCAGAGAGTTCACATTTTAGGACGTAAAAAAACCAATATTTCCTTAACATTCAAGAGAGGTGAATTCTGACAAGATTTAGGGCTTGAGGGAGGTTATTGGGCTAGTGTAGTCTGAACCTTTTTATAATAGCAGTGAAATAAGTTCAGTCAATGAAATTCCTGCTTGAAGGTTAACAGCTGTGCAAGGACTGGAGAAGAAATACCCCATCTTGATTTTAAATCTTCGACAATGGGAAATTGTTGCAGTGCCCAAGGAAAAAATCTGGGGAAAGAAAGAACTGAAATTGTCTTCGCATATGAGTTTCTGTCTTTTCTGTCACAGGAAGGACCATGTACTTCATGTATCCTTAGAAACGAGCTTTTGTAACCCTTAGGCTGCCTGGCAAAGATTTCCCTCAAGGAAAAATGTTCTATAGTTGAAGACAGGTTTATTCCTCATCAGATTGAAAGCAAGAAACTTTCAGACTGGGCAAACATGCATGAGATTCAGCAAGTTAGAAAAAAACAGTTCATAGCCTCCTCTGACATATGAGAGCAGAAGTGTTGTCACCTACATTTAACCCACATTTGGAAAATATTCTTCATAGACAGGATGGCTACATCATTTCTAAGAAAAACATTTCTACAGCCCCCATAGCCCGCAGGGAGGACTCCTACATAAAATTGAGCATACTAAACTGCCATGACCTGACCCAGCTGCCATCAGCATTCTCTTTGCCAATTCTCATGGGTTTGTTTCTTGCCCTTTTTGCAGATGTGAAAATGTGCAGGAGAGCCCTTGGCTTTCCCATACTGCAGCTACTCATGAGAATTCCTCTCTCAGCTTTTTCTTGATGCTGCTTCATTTCTTCGGAGGTGTGCTCAGGCATGTGATGCAAATATAAGGAGAAAGAGGTAATTCTGAGTTTTTAGATCAGATTAGATATTGGGAAAAATTTGTTCTTCAAAAGAGTGATGAGGCATGGGCACAGGCTGCCCAGGGAGGTGGTAGAGTCACTATCCCTGGAGGTGCTGAAGAACTGTGGAGATGTGGCACTGAGGGACACAATTAGTGGGAACAGTGGGGACAGGTTGATGGTTGGACTAGATGATCTGAGTAGTCTTTTCCAACCTTGATGATTCTGTTATTCAATGACCTCAGCTCGAACAAAATCAAATGACCATAGAATGATTTAGGAAGCTGGGACCTCTGGAGGTCATCTCCATCAGCTTGCTCAAGTAGGTTGGACTGATTGAGGCTGGGCAGGGCCTTGTCAAGGTGAGAGCTGCGTCACTCAAAGGATGGTTATTCTACTTACTTCTCTGGTCCAATATTGGGCACCTGGTCCAATATTTGAATGCCCTCCTGGTGCAAATGTTTTTGGTTTTTTTTTTTGGATTTCCAATCTGAATTTCTGCCATTCCAAATTGTGTCTGTTTTCTTGTCTTATAATCAGGTACCTTCGAGAAGAGTCTAGCTCTGTCTTTGCTCTACCTATCCATGAGATGGCTGAAAACAATAAGATCTCCCCTTAGCCTTTACAGTGATTTTAGCAGGAGGTTTACAAAAGATAGGATTAAATGTCTGCTTTAGCTCCCCAGGGTGGATTTGGACAGTGGTTGAGATTTTTGTAATGGTAGTCAGATAAATATCAAGGGAAAATAGCTGCCCAACCACAGGTTGAAGAATGAGAACAAACATCACTAATAATAGCAAAGGCTCAGATATTTCTGTTTGTCATAGCCAAGACATTTCTTGATCCAATAATCACTAAGCCTCCAAGAGGTGAAACTATTTTAAATCCAAGTCACAGAAAAACTGATCGTAGAAAAGCTTGATTGAGCGAGAAATATTTGTTTACATTAAACAGAAGGAAAGGCAAAAAGAGATTTGTAAGTAAGGTTTACAACTTTGCAAATGCAGATTTTTTAAAATCAGGAATCTTTAAAACTATGCAGTATGTTATTATTGTACCTTGACTAATGGCTACCGAAATAGGCATTAGTCTCTTTATAACAAACAAAAGCATTCTGTTACAAGTGCTGGAAGCTCACTGTCATTCTACAGGCTATTTTTGCTTTCTGCTTTCACTTAATTTGGCTGGAAAGCTGGAAGGCTTCAAATCCTGTCCCAAGATGTATATTAACAATGAAAAAATCTTTTTCTCCCTTTCTAGCTTGCTCTCTTACAATTACTACAGATACTTCTAAGCTACAGTGCTTATCTGTGCAAGATCTGTTTAGAAGTCCAGGAGATGCACTGAATAACATATAAATTTATTTGCCAAAGTCAGCCACCTTTGACAAAGAAAGGATGCAGAATTCTTAAGCTCATATGAGTTGTGTGAAAACAAGTGACCAAGTGATAACAATGGAACTGTTGGAAAAAAAGTCCACTGTTACTAGTCAGCAAAGAAGCCAGCTTAGCAAGTTTGAATACCTACATTTTTTAGAAAATTGTGTGTTTAGGAACACGAAGGAACCACACAGTATAAGTTTTAGAGTCTTCTCCGCTGAGCACAGTCCAAGATCAGCTATTTTTGTTGGCCTCTTCTGACAGGGCATTTGCACCCAGCCAAGACGTTTTCCCCTCAGACAGAACAAGCATGGAGGATGTTAATGGGAAGCCCTGAAAACCTGAGCCAGCATCTTGGAAGTTGGTTAGTGGAGAAAACCCAATTGGAATGGAGAGCCAGGTGGTATGGGCAATTGCAGGCCAGTTAAATGAGCATGTACCGTGGAGATAATATCAGAAATAATTCTGTGCTGTTCAAGGAAAGGAGGAACTTTGATAAGAGGTGGCCAAAGTGCCTCTGTTACTGGGAAAGAGAACTAAGCTGCTGGAACCCTTCAGAAATTGTCACGGTCTTGGTACACCAAGGACAATGCAGTGATGGCTGCAAGCTTATGTATTTCTGCAGAACAATCTGAGAGGCTCCACGTCAGAGATTATTTGCAAATGCAGAACAGTACAAATGTGTGTGTGTTTGTAACTGAGCTGCTGTCTGTGTGTTTAGGAGGATCAGAAACACACAGGGTGAATATTGCAATCTTCTCTGAAGCTGGCAAGAGGCTTACCACCATATCAGGGCTCTGTTTTATGTTTGGGTTGGATCCAGTTATTTTTCTTTTTACTGGATTTGAGGAGGCCACTGAGATGGAGTTTCTCTGGTGAAATAGCACAGGCAGATGATCTTGGGAGAGTACTGGTTGGAAGATATGCTTTGCTTCTCGGACCAGCACCAGGCTGTGTTCCTGCAGGTGATCCCACCATCTGCAGGAGAGCCCAGGGATGTTCACCTTCCATAATCCTTGCTCCTTTGCATCACTCCAGTTCTGCCCTTCCATTTCTGTAACTCTTTCTATGGGATTTATCACTTCCTACAACAAGGGAGACTTTTACCTTCACTGACTATGTCCTGAGTGTTCCCAATTTTTCAGCATGCTCTGCATTTCAGTCTGATTAGGCTATTTGTTCTGTTGTATTGTAGAGACAAGGAGTGGCACTTAGACACAAGAGAAAATGTTCTTTCTGTATGCAGGAAAATAAGGGAAAATGCGCTCAGCTGGAAATGAAACAGCTTGGAGTTCAAAACTCACTTCTACAGGCAGCTGTTCTGCATTTTCATACCCTTAGCAGCCATCAGCACTGGCCACACCCTCTACCCCAGAATAAATGCCCCTATTGGCACTTAGCAGTTATGCTGCAGATACAGATGAGGAAATGAGTAGCAGCAAAAGCACATGGAGACTGGGAAAGCCATCCAAATCTCTGCCATTCAGCCTGCCTTAACTTTGACTGTTGCAAGCTTAGACCCCTTGAGTCTTTTCTCAGGCTGCTCTATTGAATTCAGCAGATTTCAGATAAAACCTAGGAGCCTCCTTGTCAACACTCTGTTGCTAGAGTTTGGAAACCCTGTGTGTCAGAATAGCCTCAGATGATGCGCCGGTCCCCTCAGTATTGGGTGGGTGGCAGCATGAATAGCACTCCACAAGATTTATATCCCGCAGGGAAGGAGAGGGAGGGATCTTTGCCAGATATATATCTACCTATAAATGCATATGGCATAACTACTAGGACCCAGCTGCACTCACATGACTGTCTTTAATCTGTTTCCTTTTAAATTGCTTTGTCTACATTGCCTTGAGCTGTTTTTTTTTTTTTTTTTTTTTTTCAACTCCTGAAATGCACACACAGCATTAAAGGTAGATATCTTCAGTGCGTTGCTCCAATCCTGGACTATACACCCTCCAGGGCTTTCATGGGATGCTCCGAGGGATGCTATAGGCCAGGGACACAGGTCCCCCCTAACACACCCTCCAACCCTTCTGCATTTCCACGCACTTCTGTGATTTCCAAGCAGCAGATAGCCACCTTGCATCATCACAGCATGCACTGAGCCCAGCACTCATTATTAGGCAGGGATTTGCTGTGCGCAGATCTGTGGCAGTGCAGTGGAAGGCAGATGCCACGTGGCTGAACCAAATTGGATAGAGAAGGAGCTTAAATGGTCACTTGTGGGTCATCTTCTCCTGTTGAAAGTGGCTCAGGGCCATAGCGCACATCTGGGCAGTTGAGTAGAAGCAGCAGCTTCAAGCTGTTGCAAGGCATTTTCCTGGAAGTCTCTCCACAGTGTTGGAGACACAACACACAACCCAAAAGTTTCCTGTCCAGGGACATTCCTCTGCAGAAAGCAGTCCTTTGGAAGGTGAGTGCTCCTCGCTGCTGCCTGTACATTTGTACTCAGAGATCAGTATTTTGCTTTATTTCAGTCCCCATACAGTGCTGTGTTCATTCACTGAAAAGATCTATGCGTTTGGCTGGTCAGCCAGCAGGTTCACCAAGTCATGAAAGCAAGCTGACCTGGCCATCCTAAGTCATTATGATGTATGAGAAGTTAGGATTGTTTTTACTACTCATAAAGGGAGTTTTGGATCATAGGACAGTCCTAGTAGTGGTAATTCCTACTTTATTTCCTTTTGGCCTTCCCTGTCTTGTCAAACCTTTTTTCAAACACTTGCACAGATGTATCTGTGCCTGCAGAGTTGTATGAGCTTGGAAAGCTAAATAGCCTTCATGAGTGCCTGGAGAAGGGCGTCTCCACTTCCTGAGGAATCAAGATCTGCCATTCTGCAGGAGAAAAAAAAAAGTACAATGAAGGATGGGGGAAGCTGAGCAGCAAACAGATTTCCAAGATGAGCAGCATTAGCAAAGACCAGGCATTAGGATCAAGGCGGTAGCTTGGTAACTGGTTACTAAACAGGATCTAAACTGAGGTGTAGGGGACACATTTAGAGTAAATCATCCACAAGTACAACTTTACTAGATGGTTACTCTTCCAGTTCAAGTGAATGAAGATAGAAGAGCAGCAACCCAAAGATCTTAACTTTTCCTGAGCTTTGTAAACAAGCCATGATCTTGGGCACATCCTTGAGGCAGAATGCAGCTCTGGATTGCAGACATCTCAGCATGAGTGTCACCTTGTAGGTGTTTGCATGTGGACTGGGTGTCTAGGCAGAGAAAATCAAAAGCTTGATTCATACCCACGCAGTGATTACTTAGTGGAAAAACTTCTCAAAATAGGTAATTCAATTGAGCCCCCAGTCAATACAGTCAGTGGAGCTGGAGAGCTAGACACCTACATTTGTTCAGCTGACTCACTCTCGGGGCTCCACTGTCAGCAGTGACTAGACCCTCCTTTGATTATATAGGAAGACAAAAGCCCACTGTGCATATAGCTACTACATCCAGGTATAAACTGTCTGGACTCAGATTCTCCTCTGATGATAGGAACAACCCTTTCATCCCACCATAAAGTAAGTCTAGAAACCTTCACTTCCTCCTAGGAAAGCTGTAAGGGATTGTTCCTGATCTGTACAACACTTCGAAGCTAGGTGCTCTGTGAATGCTGAGTATTCATATTATTATAAACACACCGTGATTTAGAAATGCATGTAAGACATTGAAGAGTAGTAAACAGATGGGAGATGGTGCCAAGTAAGGCCACGCTGAAGTAGCAAGCAAAAATAAGTGTAAGAGACAGTCTGACATCTTCATAAAGAGACAGACGCAGCTAGAATTTGAAGCACATAGCAATGAAATAGGGTCAGGAAGGTGAACTGCCTTTTCTTGGCCAAGTTGTTCTCTTATGGGGCAGCTCCTTCTGCAGTCAGACCAGAAAATCCTCACTGCTTACCTGGCTTGGAGTCTTCAAGATGATCACTGCACAGCTCCAGTGGACAAGGCAGGAAAAGTGATAGTGTTTATGATGAGCTGCTGTGTGGGAGAGGTTTTAAATGCATCCTTGAAGTCACTGGGTTACACCAACTCTGGGCTGGCTGAACTGACAGGTACTAATTACTAAAAGAAAAGTGACTCACTGAAAACCAATAATAATTGTCTTATATCTAATTAAAATGGATGATTTACAGTCAAATAGAAGACTACAGCCTAAGCATGAGGGGCATACAGGATGTGATGGACAGTCTGCAGCCCCACATATTTCATACAGAAATAAAAGTTCAAAAGTTGGGTGAGTTGTGCTCTACTTTAGTTAGCTACAGCCCAGAAAAGCTGTTCTGTAAATGAGACAGAAACAGCACATGGCAGGTCCTTCTCCCAGTAAAACAATGGAAGTGCAGTTGGTGCTGCTAACAGCAAAACCTCTCTGGCTTCTGAGGGGTCAGTATATTCATTCCTTTTTTCAGTATCCTACCAAAACTGCTGTTGGAAACTATTCCACAGGGAAGGGAGAGCACCTGTATCTCATAAAGAAGTGGTGAGGAGGGGGACAGTACTCAGGGACAAACATAGTAAGCATGCAATAGACACTTCTGAAAATTCATGCATTCATTGAAGGCGTTAAAACTATCTCCTGTTGGTGTGATAAGAACGTATGAAATATTTGTAGGGATTTACATGTGCATGGATTATAAGGAAAGCTCTTGTATTTTAAGAGATTACATACTCTAACGGAGTATATGCTACATAAGTAGTACTGAGAACAGTTCTTGTGTATGCAATGTGCCATAAAAGAACATCAAGGAAAAGACAAATGATTGGCCATAGTTTTAGGCATAATTCAGATGAATAAGCATAGTTTACCTCTTTTTGGCATCCAAAGTCATCTTCTTGCCTCCATAGAGTGACCTGCAGTCCACAGGAAAATCAAACTGGCAGTGTTGAGTTTCTCCTTTTTTGAGGGACAATGGCTCCACTGTACTTCATGGGTATCAGAGCTCAGGGGATGTCTCTGAATCCCAATTTACTATTTAACCTTAGTCAGGTCATCTCTAACCCCTGTTTTGGGAGGGGCAGCTCAGCACATCTCAGCTCTGAATGTCAAGCTGCTGGCCCCACTGAGCAGAAAGAGACATTTTCTGGGGAACACCCCTTGGATGCACTGTCAGTTCAGTGTCATTTACTTCTAGAAAAAGTTGGCTTGGCCTTTCACTTACCATTACCTTTTCACAGGTATGTTTATAATCCCTTGCTTTTGGGTTATTTCTGTTGGTAAAGCACTTAAAGGTCCCACTGTACAGTTTAAGACCAGTATGGGACACACTCTTTCCTAACATGGAGCTGTCCTCTGCTTTCCCTTCTCTGATAATTTCCCTCAAGCCCCTGGTTTCCTGGTTTGCCTTGGACTCAGAATAGTAACAGTCTTAATCTAGGGGACTTCTCTGATCTTGGGGTCTGAGTGGGAGGCGTGAGTGATTGCTCTAAGCAGCAAACCCATTTATGCAAAGCGTTTCACTCTCTGAGTGGGATCGCTGAGGAAGGATGAGATTAGAAGGATATCACTGGCAAAGTGACTAAGAGATTTATCCTATTCATAGGCTTGGCTCGTACTTAAGGAATTTGCATTATTGGGATTTTTCAAAATCTGAGCTGCTGAATCCATTCTTCTTCAAACAGCATCACAGGTATTCAGAGCCTACTTTTCAAGCTTTTACCTTTCCACACAGACATATTGCTTCCATTGCATTCTCTGTTTTTACACACTTATTTCCAAGTGCCAAGAGTAGCACAGCCTCCCCCAACTCATTAAGGCACTTCAGTGTCAAGATATATTCCCTAATGTTCAGCATGTTTTTTTTTTTTTTTTTTTTTTTTCCCTTTTGCTTAATTTCTTCCTAATTTGTCTAGTTAATGTTATTGGGAAGGATTAAGAGGGGTACATCTTCCTCTGACACTGTTACGTCCAGATATTTGCAGACTTTGAAGAGTTAGATCTCCTTGAAACATCTAGGTGGGAGAACTCCCCTAAAAAACTGGGCTAGACCATACATATAGCAAAAGAAGGCAATAACAGTGCCTTCAAATGGGATACAGAGCAATTGCTGGTGATAAAGAAGGAAAAGTTAGCTCACCTCTTCCAGCAACCAGTGAGAGCCTCAGAAGAGCACCATACCTACCCAGAAAGCTTCTGCTCCTCAGCTGCCAACCCTTAAATGAGAGTAAGAAGGACTGGATCCTTGCTGAACTCCTTCCAGTCACTTAGGTGCATTGTTTGCACCTGAGCTCCCTGGGTTAGCCATGCCCTCTCACCTGGTGCTCAACCATTGGTTCAGGCTGTGACCTGGCAATTCCGCTGCACTGTATGATAGATGAAGATGTTTCATTGCATCTGTTCTGAGGGAAGATCCTCAAGAGTACTGATCTTAGGGAGTCCTGCAGTAGAGGATGCCAGCATGAGCCCCCAGCTCACAATACCAAAAGAAGTCCTGCAGTGCCTTCTCTCTGCTAGTAGTCTGCATTCAGCCTGCCTACTTCAGAAATTGTAGCAGCCAAAAAATATACTTATCAGCTAATAGAGGCTGACACCTTGCTGGTGTCTTCAGAGGGGTGTATAGGGGTAGAAATGGCTGGGCTGGGCTGACACAAATGAGATGCTCTGGGTAAAGACTGCACAGAATGAGACATGTGGTGCTGGAAGGCAAAATGTCTGTGGTGAACAAAGTCAGACTAATGTCAGTTCAGAAACTGTGTGTCCTCCCAGTGTGTTATCTCCCTGCTCAGTAACTGAGCCAGGAGCCGCAGGGACGTACCAAGGAAAACAAAAGGTGTCAGGGGAAGTTGGATGTTAGGAAAAAAATAATCTGAGAAAGAATGGTGAGGTACTAGAATAGGCTGCCCAGGGAGGTGGTGGAGTCACCGTCCCTGGAGGTGTTCAAAGAATGTGTGGATGTGGCACTGAGAACACGGTTAGTGGGCACAGTGGGGATGGGTGGATGCTTGGACTGGGTGATATTAGAGGTCTTTTCTGGCCTTGATGATTCCGTGACTCTATGAAAGAAAGCAAAACCTTATCTACATCTCTTTCCTCGGTGTATCAGTGACTTTGTGATCACTTAGTGGTGTGTGTTCACGAGCAAGCCGAGCTCATCTAAACCCACGCTGCTGCAGTGAGCAGCAACCTCAGCTTTGCATTTCCACTTTATCCTTTAAACTGCTATTCATTTCTTCTTTTCAAATTTCATTCCATTCTCCTGTACTGTCTGACTGGGATCAAGTCCCACCACCACGATGTGAGGCTGGCACCAGGTCCTTGGCTCATCCAGGAACCTGATCCTGGGTGTGGTCCTGGGCTTGTCCTCAAGCTGCCATGAAAGGAAAGGCAGTAGTGAAGGGATGTGCGGTCTCCAGAGAGCTAGACCCAGGTGGAAGTGTGAAATGCCTCTGTGCTGGTGAGGAAGAAGGAAGAAAGCGTGTTAATGCTTCCCTGAAGCACGGTCAGGCCACAGCTTTCATTTCTCAGCCATCCACCTCGCTGTGCTATTCGGCAAACCGCAAATAGTAACACCTCCCGCCCGCCCTCCGGGAAGCAAAATTAGCAAAATTAACTATTGCAAAGCCCGCCAGGCACAGGAAACAAAGAGTCCACAGTGTAAATTCTCACCTGCGATGTATTTTGGGCTTTCATTTAAAAAATATTAAAGCACAAAGAGAGTCGAGCCACCTCCCTGTGCGCAGAGCCGGGTGTGTGTACAAGGCTCATAGCAGGCTCTGCTCCTTGAGCGGAAGAAGTGAGCCCAGCCTCACATTGTGCTTTAAGAGCCGTAGCACAAAAAGACGGGTTCTGAGTCTGGGAAGCAGCGCTGCCTTTCGCTGCCACCATTGTTCCACCTTTGTTATGGCAGCTTGCTGCTGGCGGCAATTAGGCAGAATGAGTTTTGTTCTTGCTGAGAGAATGGGCATTAGCATGGCTCTCGTGGATAGGTTGAATTTTGCTGTGAAAACGTGGCTTGGCTTGGGAAATTTGCTTTTTGAAGGGGTGCTGCCATGCAGGGTGGGACCAGCTGGTTTTGTTAGAGGAGCAATGGATGCGAAGCATGGAGGGGATACAGACTAGTTAGAATGCGGCATGGTGGGAAAGCAGGATGCTGGCACTTGGAAGTCCGTGGCTTAAATCCCTAGTCCACCAGAGCCTTCCCACGTGTCCTCCCATGCATCCCTGCCCATGTGCTGGCACCTGGGGACATCGCGCTGTCCCTTCTCCCTGGGGACCCCACAAAGGTAAAGGCATTGACCATTACGCATCCCCCAGGCAGTCAGAAAAAAGGAGACACATGCATGCCTGAGATAGCTGCTATTAACCTTGCCTTATTTTATATATTTTTACAGCTGCAGCAGATGTCTGCGAGCCTCCCTGGGGGGACCTTAGGTACTTACAGCCTTCAGAACTGCCTTACAGGAGCTGATGGCTTCAGACCCAGCCTCTGTGAGGCTCCCTGCTCACAGGCAGGCTGGCTGAAGCTGCCTTGATAGGGAATCGCCTGTGAGAGCACGGCTGGATTGCAGCAGCCAGGTCAGCGCCGCTCGCCCAGCTCTAATTGCAAGCTGGGAACATAAATAAGACAAAGGATAAATAAGAAAGGATGCACTGGGAAGCCCCACAAGAGGAAATAAGGATATTATTATTGATTAATAAAGATAATAAGAATAGTTGTTATCGACTCAGTGTTGCAGAGTAGGGCACACCAGCCATGTTGTGCTAATGCAGGAGAAGCAGGAGGTGCCGCCACCCCTGCATGCCTATCATGCAGCTCATTTGCTCTCACCAAGCAGAGCTGGAGGGAGCACATTTGTAAGATGCAGCCTGAATATCACAAGATAAGTGACCCATCGGATTTTCCCACTACAGTTGGCAGCAGTAGTCCAGGCGTATTTTTCCATGGCATTGGCAAAGAGGGCTGTGATGACCGGCAAAACTGCCTCTGCCTATGCATGCACCCCACACTGGCCTGACTGTGGCTGGATCCCCCTCTGCAAGGTACAGATGGTGTTCACACCTGGGCATTACTCCCCTGAGTGAGAGCATAGCTTTGAGCTGGGACACAGAGCAGCCAGGAGTGGAACAGCCCTGATGGGCAGCTTTGCCTCCCCTCAACTCTGCTCCCCATCCCATGCATGGGCTGCTCCAGTCACCTCTGCTCTGCCTCCCACTGTCCTTGTCAAAATAAAGGGACTTCTCAGCCTCTGCAGTTGCTTTATAGGACAGATTTTGGTGTTGGAGAGCCAAAGCCCTGGCACATCCCATGCTGCAGTTTGCAGCTGCTCCCTCTGCCCTGCTTGTGCATCATTTTGCACCATATGTGAAGTACAAATGAGAGCAGCAAGCTTTGAGAGGTGCTTGGATGTTTAATGTATGAGAGATCACACAGCACTTGGGTAGCCTTGATTGAAGGCAAATGGGAAACAGCTCCATGTCACTATTAACACATGCATTTCTCACCACTCATTGTGTGCTGCCTCTAAGTCTCTTGCAGATCCAGTGTAGATATTGCATCTAGCAGCACAGGGATGCTGTGATACAGACTTGGGGCTTTGCTTTGAAACTGGGGAGCTCACCATGCCCCCCCATGCTTGGAGCTGACACAGCTGCTCCTGAAGATAATGCATTTCTCTGGTTTGCTTTGTCCTCTCACTCCGAAGCCTGATGAAGGATGGCATTATCTAATACAAAAATGTGCTGATTTACCATTTCTTCCATATTTTGGAGCATCCTGATGTTCATCCTGCTAGCACGTGGGTGTAAGTGCACAGGGGGGTGGGATACCATTTGGAGCAAGAAATGTCATAGTCCTCCCTCTATGCAGTGAATCTGCTCTGCGAAGGGAGGTTGAGCTAATCAGCCTCCAGGATCAGGAACAATGCCAGCTGGAGTTGTTCTTAGCATGCCATAGGCTGTACTAACCATACTCTGCCTTCTGACCCTCTAGCCCACTGCAGGAGGCTTTATCAAACAACACCATGACTCCCCCAGACTTCACAAAGTGTTCCATGCTGGTGTCAGTTCCTCAGTGTCTGCAGCCTGGAGTCTGTCCCTGCCCAGTGGAGCTGCAGAGAGATTTTGTTGCATGCACTGGCGATGTGACCACCCAGGCTGATCACTCCAGGGTATACCATCATGACAAAGCACCCCATGGCTCTGCCTTTTTTTGCAGGGCTATCACCACTTTGCCCGTGACATAGGCATGAATCATTCTGCCCAGCGTTAGCAAACAGCCTCCTCCAGAATTGCTGCTGGTTACTCATGCACAGCAATGCTACGTGCTGGCTTAGCGCTCCAGGCCTGTCCTCTCCAGCTTCAGAACACAAGATGAGGGAATTTAGACTTGCCCCATGCCATAGCTGACTGGGGCTGAACCCCTCAGTGGGCAAGAAGAAGGGTAGCAAATTGCCCCCATCTCTCTATGAAGAGTGAAGCTGCAGCAGGACCCTTAGCCCAGTGTTGAGCTCAGGGCTGCTCCATTGCCTGACATAGGAACACGGACTTGTTGTCACTAGAGACCTTCCCCCGCACTAATCTGGCCTGGCAGGGGAGACAGAGTGAAGTGCCAGAATGCTATTTTCTTTTCCTTTTCATCCTCTTTTAAATGGCAGTTCAGCTGATGGGCAAAACATGATCTAGAGCAGTGTTTCAGGCAGCAGAAAATTAGTTCAGCTTTTACCCTCATTAGCTGATTGCCAGTAATTAACATTTTGTCATTAACTACAGATGTTTATGGCCTGGAAGAGAAGTTTGGGTGTCTCCACATTAGCTCTCAGAAATGCACTGATTATCTCCATTTAATTGGCTGACTGTGCCTCAGTTTCCTTATCTGCTAAGGGGAAAAAAGATTATCATGACTCATCCCCATCCGCTACTTCACATCCCAGCCTACTAGGACTGTCAAAAGAGAACCTGCTGCCTTTGGATATGGGTCTTTTTAGGAGGTTCAGCTTCAGGAAATGCAATTTTTCACTTTCTCTAGCTTGCCAGCCCTTGCCTTTAATGAGCCTCATTGTCCAATAGATCATAATCTTCTTGGCATTAAGTGACTCTCCATTGAGTCCTGGGGCTTTATTCTAACTATTATCTTCAAATGAGTGTAGATGCTCACAGATTCATTAAAGCCTGTTTTT